TTACATTTAATACCATTACATTACATTTAATACCATTACATTACATTTAATACCATTACATTACATTTAATACCATTACCTTACATTTAATACCATTACATTACATTTAATACCATTACATTACATTTAATACCATTACATTACATTTAATACCATTACATTATATTTAATACCATTACATTACATTTAATACCATTACCTTACATTTAATACCATTACCTTACATTTAATACCATTACCTTACATTTAATACCATTACCTTACATTTAATACCATTACCTTACATTTAATACCATTACCTTACATTTAATACCATTTTCTTACATTTAATACCATTACCTTGCATTTAATACCATTACCTTACATTTAATACCATTACCTTACATTTAATACCATTACCTTACATTTAATACCATTACCTTACATTTAATACCATTACCTTACCATTACCTTACATTACCTTACCATTCCTTACATACCATTACCTTACATACCATTACCTTACATACCATTACCATACATACATAACATAATACATACATACATACATACATAATACATACATACATACATACATACATACATACATACATACATAATACATACATTACATACATTACATTACATACATTACATACACATTACATACATACATTACATTACATACATACATACATACATTAATACATTACATACATTACATACATACATACATTACATTACATACATTACATTACATACATTACATTACATACATTACATTACATTACATACATTACATTACATTACATTACATTACATACATACATACATTACATACATGCATTGCATGCATACATTACATACATACATGCATTGCATGCATACATTACATTACATTACATTACATTACATTACATTACATTACATTACATTACATTACATTACATACATACATACATATATATACATACATACATACATACAAATATATATATATATATAAATATATATATTATATATATATATATATGTATATATATATAATGTCTATAACTGGAAAATTGGGGTACACTTTTCGAAGGTTTCACAGAGCGCTTTGGGTGCTTTACACTACCCTAAAAGTCATTTTTACCTAATCATGGTATTTAAGCGAAAATCTTGCTCATTGGGAGCTTTTTTTGGATATTCATTCTAAGAAGTGAAGGTCATTTAAAAGACTTCCAACTCCACTCTCCTAAAACTGAACAGCTGAAACCCAGGAATGTCCAGAGACAAATCACCTTCTTGTTTCGGAGATCATCATTCTCCTTTGGGAGCACCAGCAGCTTCAAATCCAGTTCAATCAATATATGATGATGATGATGATAATAATAATAATATATACAGTACATATATATATATATGTGTACTGTATATACATATATATATATATACACACAAATCTGTGGATCTGATATAATGTACATATAATTTATGTATATATATATATATAAATTTATATACACATGCACATGACACATCCAAATCTGTAACGTTTTCTGCGATGACAGCGACGGTTCGCCCCATGGTTCCCATACACCGCGCACCATGCCACGTAGCGTGGCTCCTTTTTTGATGGCCGTGGTGAGCTGGAATGTTGCCCTGGCGATTTCTGGTAAACACCCCTGGAAGATCTTCCTGAGTACCTACATATGTATAGATATGATATATTTTATATATATATATACATATATCTAATTGTATATATGTACATATATATATATACATACAGTATATATATATATACATACAGTATATATATATATACAATATATATATATACATACAGTATATGTATATATATATATACATACAGTATATGTATATATATATACATACAGTATATATATATATATACATACAATATATATATATACATACAGTATATATATATACATACAATATATATATATATACATAGGTATATAATGGTATATATACATATGTGTGTTCATAATTATATGAATCATGTATATGCAATAGGCGTACGCATCTCTGGAGGAGAGAATCATGCGGATCGACCAAAGAAGGTCTCGTAATTCAAAATGCTCCAGCTGGGGTTGGGGACTGACATGAGTTCCTCGAAAGATGTGGAGCAGAAACTAAGGAATGTTCCTTGACACAACTCAATTAACACCTTGGTCACTTAGCACAGCATCAAGATTGAATCCCTTCTGTATTCAGAGACTTTCCAGCTGGGAAATTTGGGGTCAACCATACTTTGATGTCAGTCAGACAAAGGAAAACCAAAAACCAAAGAATGTTACCCTCCGGCAATAAAGCGTATGGAAAATCCACCATTAGTAGATGACTTTCCCATTCACATCTCAATCTATATATCTCAATCTTTTAGTGGGTTTTCCCGCCAGCCATATTTGATACCCTCTGGTAATTTAACAGTTTGCTGTTGAAAATGGCACATAGAAATAGTTGAATTAGCTATGAAAAAGATGATGATTTTCCATAACTATGTTAGTTTACCAGAGGGTAACCCGAGGGGAACTCGCCGTTCCCATCGTTGGGCTACCCCGCTTCCACTTTTTCATGGCTTCTCCACTACCTGCTTTTCGGAACCCACGAAAAACTCGATCAGCAAAAAAAAAGGATACGCAAAATCATGTGTATAATATAGTAAAAACATGTGTATATATATATTATATGTATATATATTATGTATATATATATATATATGATTATATATTTTGGCAACCACCTTGCAGTGCACAGCACAGCGAACAGGAGAGCAGCTTATACGCATGAGCCGAATTGTCTGTACCAAGTTGGAGTAAACGTCCCACGGCATATACACATGTGTACACATGTGTTGTTTTATATGTGTGTATATGTATACATATATATACATACATGTATGATTATATATAAATATATGTAACATACATATATATATATATAATAATAGATAAATATGCATATAATGTATATACACAAACTACAATTACCAACATATAGCCAGCAAGGAAGAGGATTCAAACATCACTGATGCAAGTCAAAAGGTTATCATTTATCATTCTGGACGAAATTCACCAAATCATTGTGCCATTGTCAGGTCAAACCAAGCTCGGCCTGGAACTTTTCTCTCAGGCCTGCGGTGCATTTCTGAAAACGGCCAACACGGAAAGTCAATGGCCACGGACTACTGAAAAATCCGGAGAAGTCATGAATCATTCAATGAATCCGTTCTTTTCAAAAACCAAATGTCGTTTCTGTATTTTCTGTTGATATAAGTTTGCTGCACCTTGCGGTTGCAAGATACCCAGCCCCCAAATAGTTGTGCCCCGTGGGGCCCTGGGTTCCCACACTTCAATTCAGGCAACTTGCCCAAGCGCCTGCAACAGCCATCCCAATAGACATCGCTTGAGGATGGCAAGTTCACTGGTTGATTAAAACATATGGAGGTTTCTTAAAATGGTTTGGATCCCCAAGTCACCATCCAGTAAATCAATAGCTACGGAAAGCCTATGATTTCCCCCAAAGCACTCATGCACAAATGATCGGTGTTTCCATATCTCTGTGCATTTACTGGGAGGTCTACTTACTGCTGCATCCCACTTAATACCGCCAGTTAGATTAACGGAATATCTCCTATTATAGCCTATTTTATATATGGATATATATGGGATATCCATTAATCTAACTCAATCTATATCCCCTATGAATGGATTATTATGAATGGAATATCCATATGGCAGTGTGTCAAAACCTTGTACCCCTGGTGAACATCAAAATAGCTGGTAAATGGATGTTCATCCCCCTAAAAATGGTATTAATAGGTATTGATCCATACCCATATGGGATTCTATGGGTTATAAATGGATTCTAAACCACGGATCCGATTCGTCAAACCCATCCCCCTGCCTGGGCTGTGGCGATGTGTCCGGGCTGGGCAGCCCAGCATGGCCCTCAGTTGCCGCGGCACCTGGTGGGAACAAAAATGCCCCGGAACGGCGGATGATTCGCTTCGAAACCATGAAATATGGGGATAGGTCAAACACCTGTTTAGTACCATATAATATTTGGGGAATAACCATTCATTCAGCAGCTATTTTAAGGTACCCTAGGGTTTTGACTCATAGCCATTATACGAAGATAAAGGAATAAAAACTTTGATTTGCTCTGTCAAACGCCGGAAATAAACCACTAAGATTGAGGTTCAACTGACGCAACAAGAATGTGGGAGAATGGGATGATCGTGATGGGTCAAATCTTCGGACAATGTCGTGATGTTTTGAACTGGTTTAGGTGTTAAAATGACTGAGGGTTACCATACTCTGCTTTCCGTCATTGGCACTGGGGTGCTGGAAATAATGCCTTGTCAGTTGGGTTCCCAAAACAATTTTTTGAAGCGGAATCCACCTGACCCAAAGCGAGATGTGGTCCGAACTACACGTCTGCAGCATTCCTTCAGCAGGTTGCTTATTTCACTCTAGGGGTTAGCAGTTTCCACAAATCCCCCTCTTCAGCAATTGGACGAAGGGAGACGCATTTGTCCGGTCGTATTATACCAGCTTTTCATATCTTTTTTATACTAATGGAGGAGAATTGTTTTAGTTCTACTATGTTGAAAGGGGTGTGAAAGGGGTGATTCAATTCGCCCAGGAAGGGAAGGGAGGTGACTTTTGAAAATGACAATTTTGTTGGGAAGCCTCTGCGAGGGCCCACATGATCCCCGACCTTCCAGTGCGTCTTCCTCCAGCTCCGTCAGATTCGCTTCATTAACCTAGAGAGGCAAAGCTGGCCACTGGCCCTCGGGCAGGTTTCCCTTCCTTTTTCATCCTTTTTCAGTAGACCCAGTCACAAACCACCCCAAACAAGATTATGTATACAGTACCCAATGGACAACTCCAAATGGGGGATGGTTTATGGCACTGGGTAAGATGGACTCCTGAGGATCTACCATCACTTCACCACGTGAAAGGTGGTGCCCCATAGTTGTAAGCTGGTTAATATCCCCATCACACCCCATCTAACTATAGGTACAATCACCAAGCAAAATCCATGAACCCCAGTTCGCTGACTTACAAACCAACTTACCTAACGAACTGGGGGCACCACCTCGTGGAAGATCGGGTTTCGAAGACCCATTTTGACATTTTGACTCACGAGTTGAACGAGAAAACTCGCGCAGGGAGTGGTGGAAAGCCAATTGAAACATCAAAAAATGCCAGGTGTGTCAGGAGCTACTGGGACCATTGAGGTTGGAGAATTGCCAAATCACTAAGCGCCCAGGCCTGAGCATCAACAGCTTCGCTGCCAATGCCTGGATTCCGGTTTGCTACCGTCTAAGATGGGAAGAACCAAAAAGGTGCAAATGAAGCTTAAGAAGACGAAGAAATAAATTGAATAAATGGCAAAATGCTATGTTACTCTTGAAAATCACATTGCCCATGTTTTGCTGCTTAGATTCCCACGTTTCATAGATGGTAAAGTCTCTCACTTTTTTCAATGCTGAAATCCAGCATCTTCATGGAAAAACTCGGATTTCTGAAGTTTTCAGTGACTAATGTGGGATTCACCCAATGCCATAAATGGATTAAATGGGCCATAGTCACCATGCCCCAAGTCATCACCCCCCAAGTCATCACCATGTTTAGTTGTCCAAGGGGCTGGGCAGTGTGCTAAGCCACGCCCCTTCGCTGTCGGTCATGGCTTTCAGTCATGGCTGTGAGAAATCTCAGAGATGATCTAAGTATTTGGCGTGAAATTGGCTGAGTTGGCTAAGTTGGCTAAGTTGGATGCTGAACTTGTTGCTTGCTTCGATCTGAAATGATCTGAAATGGAGTGCTTCTATTTTTTGGCTGAAATGATCTGAAATGCAGATCTTTCAGAGGCTGAAGTATTGGAAATTCTTGGATGAGGCTTCGCGTGATTTCGGCTGCAAGTGTGTGAATCATTGGTTGCTATGTATTTGAGTATTGGTCCATTTTTTTAGGTGTCGATCATTTTGAGTCAGGCCCCCAAATTCCAGCAATTTCCTGTCCTTTGGTTTTTTTTCCCTTTGCATGACGGACCTTCTATTAAAGTCAACCTGAGTGCCCAAACGTCAGTGGAACTGGGCGGTCAACAGGGATAGCAAAGTTGACCCTTGCTACAGTACCACCCAGATTCAAGACTTCTTTCGTGGGGGGCATTGATCTGCTTGGGGCAGCTCATGATTATGAAGGACTTGTCATTCTAGACGATTTTGGGGCTTACCTTGATAGTTCAGCTCCCACACTACGTAGCTTGGAGAGTTATGTACACATGGCAGCTTGCCAAGAAGCCATGCTGACTGCTGCTGTTTGGTCTTGGGGCTGTACTCGTGTTGACATGGATCATTTTTTCAATCCTTCAAAAGGCCCTAGCATTCCCAACATGCTTTGGCACGTGGCAAAGGACACCTTTCAGGACACAAGCGAAACCCTTCCTGAAGTCACCTGGAAGTCACCTGGTCAACTTTTATCAGAATTTTATCATCATCCGCATCTCTTCACCAGTCGCGGAGTTGTGGTCCCCACAATCCCAACTTTGCTTCCATCGAGCGTGACAATCCCCACCAACAACATCCAACAACCACACGCGCCATCACCTCATAGCCTCCATGTTCCATGTTACTCCATGGTAATTCCATGGGTTTTTCCCATCGGACCCCCATCAAACTGGCCACCTCATAGCCCATGTCATGCACCAGCACAGGTGCCCAATCAAAACTACGGTCCTGCAGTTGTTTTTGGTTTTGTGCAGCTCACGTATGGCTATGGGTCAAAAATGGGTGATACCCCAAAAATTGCAGGGAAAATGATGTTAGATCAATTTTGCAAATGATTTCAGCGAACTCCATTTTCAGAAAAAAGAAACACATATGAAGGTAGATGCATAGATCACGAAATGCCATTTGGATACGTCCAAAAACTTGGGCATCTACAAAAACCTTCGAAAACATATCTACAAGTCCGGGAAATGGAATGGTTGGGGGGCATGCAGAAGTTTTTCTCACGACCCCAGAATCCTGATTTCACCAAAAACATCATCAGCCATCCAGGAAGCACCGGGAAAAAAAAAAACTGTTCACGGTCCCAAGACATCTCCCAGCAGAACTGTCCACGATGAGCAAAGAACAGGTTTCAGAGGATGTCGTGTCCCTGGAGCGGACCCGGTGAGCAACCGGCAACCGCCAACAGTTTTTTTTGGGGTTGCTGTAAATTGTGTCCTCCAAATGGCGAAAAGGGCTATGGATCCAAACCATTCAAGGTGGCATCCCCCCATCCCCAAGGGGAAAAGGTGGCATGATCCATCCCCAATTGAAAGAAGTTGTAAGCACCGACTCATCTGGTTTTGTTTTGGAAAATGGGGATACCAAAATGTTGTCCAAAATTCATGGGCAATTGAAATATGCGAAATTTCAAGCCATTCTCTTAGTACTCATTCAAGCTCATTTTTTGGACCAGTTCCATTCACTGATCTTTTCATCCCGCCAAAAATTTCTCAATGGGGAGATGATCATCCCCGAAGAACACCAAATACTCCCGGCACCACCCATCTCCCGTCATCCTTGAAAAATCGCCCCCACGAATCGTGGTTTCTTTAGTCGCCTGGTGATCGAATTATTCCCCATTCAGCAGCTTATCCCATGTTTAGAGCGGGAAAATCATCGAACTCAATGAGAATTCTTCATTCCCAGATTTGATTGAGGGTATCAACTCATTAATCCCCATATTCTTCATTACAATCCTCAGTTGATAGCAAAAATCCCCATTCAACAACTGCTTGCCTCCATGCGGCACCGTGTGTTTCCATCTCTTCCAGCCTGGGGAAAATCTGCCGGAAAGCATGGAGTTACCATGAAATCGCTTGCTCCTGCAGAGTTTCCCATCAAAACTTAGGTCATGTGGGTTTTTGTCATACTGATGTGGCGAAGGCCCAAAACATGCTGCAAAAAAACGCAGTATCTGGATTTTAAAAAAACAACAAGTCACTGACCCGAAAAAACAACGCCCCGATGGGATAGTTGCCCTGATCCGGTTCCAATCATTCCAGTGATGTCGCAACGTAAGTTGGTTACCTTTTATCCAGCATGATTGATAAGTAAGGGACTTGACAAGATAAAAATAACAATGATCTGGGGCTCTAGTGGTGTTTCCTAGATTATGGTCAAGAAACTGTTTTGTGTTGCTTTCTCTTCGGCTCACCTACCGTATCTTTACAGTTTTGTAGGTCCCAAAATGCTCCGCGCCCCGTCCTCACCTCTGGCAGACCTGCAAATCGCCACAGATTCTGTTGATGTTCCCCACTAGGAGCGATCAGTACCAGGCTTAATTTGATGGTACAGGATGTACAAGACCCCCTCTTCACACTATTGACGGACATCATTGGTGAAACATTTCCACAAATTGTTGTTTCCTTGTTTCCCCATTTGCTGGCAAGATACGTCCTGTTCTTTGTAAAGCCTCCCTCCAGATGTGCATAAATCCGCGGTAAAATCAGGACTACCCTCTGATGATTTAATATAGCTATGGAAAATGGCCCAATTAGTTCAACGATTTACCTGCTAACAATGGTGATGTTCCATAGCTACTTTAAATTACCAGATGGATCCAAATGGTAAACATCCATTTCTCTGTTCGGTTTAGTCCCACTTTTCGCAGGTGAACCCTTTCAAACATGGCCAGAGTGGGGCACCTCCCGAGCTAGGCGCTCACAACCACGATTGCCAGCACAAAAGACTAAGGGTTCCTTGGAAATTGCGCCAACAAGGAGCTCCGAACTTCGGCATCAACCTTTCGGGATTTTGAGATATGGTTGAGATCAAAATAATTGTTACATTAATTTGGATGTTCAACCCCCCATGTCAAAGAAATCATGACATGACCCGCAAATCTATTCCACGTTATGAGGAACCCATAATTTTTGAAAGTTACGGAATTGTCAATTGGTTCAAGGGAACATTTATTTAACGTAGCTATAGAGAATCCCCAATTTTAAGAGGTAAATAATCCAACTAATTCAGCCATCTATACCATAAAAAAATGAAATTGCCAAATGGTAATATATATATATATATGGTCCAGCGTGCCAACCCCCCTCCCCGCCAACATGGTCATCGGTCAGCGATAGTACTGTCCCCCTCCCCTAGTGCGGTGTGGTGGGGGTGTGGTACTGCGTATATATATATATATATATATGTACATATTAATGTACATATATATGTATAAATATATATATATGTAATGTTTATGTATATATATATGTATGTATGTATGTATGTATGTATGTATGTATGTATGTATGTATGTATGTATGTATGTATGTATGTATGTATGTATGTATGTATGTATGTATGTATGTATGTGTATGTATATGTATATGCATATGCATATGTACATGTAGATATATGTATATATAAAAATATATGTATATGTATATATATAAATGTATATATACATATTATATATGTAAATATGTATGTGTACATATTTATATGTATTTATATATATAAGAATAAATGTATTTATATATATATGTATATATATATATGTATATATATATATATGTATATATATATATGTATATATATATGTATATATATGTAAATATGTATGTGTGCATATATTTGCATGTGTACATATGTATGTAAATGTTTTTTATATATACATGAGAATACATGTATTTATACATATGTATATATATATATGTATATATGTATATATATATATGTATATAAATATATGTATATATATATATATGTATTTATATATATATATACATATACAAACATATATATACATATATATACATATATACATTTAATATATATATATATGAAAATATGTATGTGTACATATCATAAATATACGTATATTTAAATACGGATATGTGTATATATATATATTATATATATATGTATATATGCATGTATGTAGCTGTGCTACGTATGCATACAGGTGGTGCCAAAATTAAAGAACGAAATTAGGAGTAGAAAAGTACGGTAAAATACCGTACCTTCGTACTCCTCCAGATCCCGATTCCGCGCGGATTCGGACCCTGTTCTATAATTATTTTATCTGTTCTATAATCTCTGGCACCTTGGAGGTTACTGACATATACTTGCATCATTTTATGTAACTTTCTGGGACCCCGGAAGAAGTTATTTACATATATTTGCATCATTTTATGTATCTTTCTGGGACCCCAGAAAAAAAATGACACAGAAACCAGAATTATAGAACGGTTTACGCAACATTAATTATAGAACGGAAAAAATAATTGTAGAACGAAACTGGTAAATGTGGGAAAAAAGGGGAAACGTAATTATAGAACACACCAGAATTATAGAACGACAAAAACAAATAGGAGTAAGTTAAGACGAGTTTTTTTTCATACCTTCCGAGGAAAACAGAATTATGGAACAACAGGGTACGGTAAATAACCGTACCTTCGTACTCCTCAACTTCCGTTTTATAATTCTGGCACCGACCATATATTGACTATAGGTAGCACGTAGGTACTTTGAGGGAGTATGTGTGCTACGTAGGTCGTCTAAAAGGTAGCATGTACCTAGTAAATGCGGGGCTGGTAGTGCGAAAACCTAGCAAATACGAGGCTGGACCTCAGAAATGCTGCCAATAGCTTGCAAATAGAAGGGAAGGGGGTGCTACCTGGGGAACCATTGGGGGGGGTAGGAACACGGAACACGAGACCATATATATATATATATTTACATATATATTGATACAATTAGGTTGCTCCTGTGCGTTTTTTGGCCTTCAACCTCTGAGGACCAGTCCTGCCCCATACTTGCAAAGAAGGTGGCCAGGCCTCGGCAAACATGGCTGGGAAATCCTCTAAAAATGGAGGTTTACAGTGGGGACAATGATCTACATGATCTACAAATGGGGAATTGTCTATCGAATCTATTGCCATCTTTGATTCCCCGGAGGCTAAGGGAAAATCTACAGGAAACTCGTCGGTATAGTTACGGGCAGTTCTGACCTGGGGGATTTACACTTAGGATTTTAAGCCAATTTTGATGGCTCGAAATGGCCATGAGGCAACATGACCAACCCCCCAAAAACAGAAGGACTATATAGACGACAGTGACCCGAAAGGGAACCAGGAGACAAACATCAAATGTTTCATTTCAAAGAGAAGTCTCAGACGCGAGGGGTTCCGGCCAAAAAATGCAGCGACTCTTTGGAAGGAACCCTTCGCAGGTGCGAAAAAGGAAGTTTTTTGTGTAGGTTCCTTGGTACCCAATCTAGACCCACAACTAATTGAAGTTAGCGAACTTAGCAAAGTGCAGGTGGTATAAATAACCCTCCATTTCTGATAAGGCATTGGTTTATGGTTTCCGGGTTGCAATCTTAGATTGGTGAGATGTTTACGAATAATGTCAAACCCGAAACTGATAAACTCCTGCTTTCTGGATAAAAACTCTTACCAATTTAGCCAGATTTACAGTTCAATTTAAAGAACTCTATCTATCCCGTATTTGCTTTCCTGCCAAAAAAATATTTGAAATGTTAATCTATTAGTTGGGGGGTGCTCCTTCAACCGCCAAGGAAATTTTATGTTGGCAAGCATACAATCCCATGGTTCTCAACCATAAAATGGTGGTATCATAAGGATGTACTGGGGATGCCCGTGCCCAACCTCAGATTTGTGGATACAGATTCCCCCTTGAGACAACTAACCAAACCAGTTTGCCCAGTTTATACAAAGCAAGTGTATTGAAAGCTGCGCCAATGCATTTAAGGAATACAACATTGTAACCTGAAACATACATGGCAGCAGAAAATGTCCCCATAGAAAGTGATGGGTTTCCTCTGAAAAGTGATGTTTTTTCCCCATGGGCTTCCGGACAACTGCCAACCTGCCGTAGGTCCATTCCCTCTTCCGAGCCCTGGCCGATCCCGTCTGCAGGAAGGTGTTCTCGGTCTGGCATCTTGTGAACCACATGGAGATCTGCCAAATAGGGCTGGTAAGACCTACATTTTCGCTAAAACGGAGTGATTCCCAGTGCCTGATGGTCTGTGTAGTTGGGGGAATGGTATCATCCATTGAGTCTTCGTCCCATGTCCCAGAAAGCCCCCTTTTTTCCGGGTTGCATCTGTGATCGTCCCCATATTGACCCCAATTTCCACTAGATACATATATAAACTGTTGGAAACATCTACACACATACAAATACATACAAATACACATGGTACATATATATATATATATGTATATATATATATATTATCTATATATATATTATATTATATTATATATATATGCGAACATCTGCTACTCCGCCAGGCCCACGTTTTCTTGATCCCAGTTGACGGTGCCTGCGGCGCAATGCCCAGAAGCTGCTTCAGGGCATCCCCTTGGTCCTTTCTGCTGTACATAGTCAGGTAATGTCAGGTACCTATACATCCAAATATAAAAAGGAAAATGTCACAAGTTTAATTGGCAGTTACTGTTTAGCATCTTTTCGGGGATGAGTATACATACATACATTACATTACATTACATTACATTACATTACATTACATACATACATTTCATACATACATACATACATACATACATACATACATAAATACATACATACATGCATGCATACATACATACATACACACATACATACATACATACATACATACGTACATACATAAATACATACATGCATGCATGCATACATACATACATACACACATACACACATACACACATACATACATACATACATCCATGCATGCATGCATGCATGCATACATACATACATAAATACATACATACATACATACATACACACACACAGACATACATACATACATACATTACATTACATTACATTACATTACATTACGTTACATTACATTACACTACATTACATTACATTACATTACAATACATTACATACATACCTACATCCATACATACATACATACACATACACATACACGTACACATACATATACATTTACATATACATATATATTACATATACATTTGCATTTATCCATACACATAAGTTCACATACATATACATACACATAAATTTACATACATACACAAATACAAATACACATACAGATGCAAATACATATACATATACATACTCATATACATATACATATACATATACATATACATATACAGATACATATACATATGCATATACATATACACAAATTCACATACACAAATACAAATACATATACACAAATACAAATACATTTACACATACATTTACATATACATATTCATCTACATATACATATTCATATCTGTGCACATATACATATTCATCTACATATACATATATAATATATATATATATTCATATCTATCTACATCTTCATTTTCTTCTACATCTACATCTACACCAAACAGTCAATCAGTCCATCATCATCTTTCCATCCACCCATCCACCCATCCACCCATCCATCTATCTAGGTATGCTAAATATACAAAAACTATCTCTACCCTCAACAAAGAAATTTCACATGGCGTGACACACATGGGCATACACCCCCCCAAACTCACCAAACAGCACAATCATGGCTGAGGTATTCCCACTGCGGCAGCGGCTTTTCCAATTTTGGGGATGTAGCTAGATGCACGGATGCCAAAAGCCAGTTTTGACTGTCTTCAGCTATCATTTGGTGGGGAAGCTCTGCTTGTAGTTGATACAACCACAGCAACGAATGGCTCCAGGAGAGTCCCAGTTGGGCCGGTCCTGTAGCTGAAAAGACCGATCGTCATAGCACAGCATGCTGACCTCAGAATCCCGAGTTCACCAGGGCGACCACAAAGAGATCTGGGGAACTAAGCGGAACCGATGAACACGATCTATTTCTTGCAAATTTCGAAGCATATCACACAAAGGGTCATTGAAAACCTTGAATCCTGAAAACTAAACGCTTTGCCAATGGTTTCGTTCATCCTCAGGTAACAAGTATATGAGTATATGATACAGTATTGTCCGGGTGTGTTATTTGGATGTTGGCGAACATGGGGACTGGCGCCAATTTAAACCCCCATGAATGACATCAATCATCCCAGTTCATCTCATTTTCTTCTCATGTTTTCCAAGCTTTTCTACCCAAAAGTTCCCCACAGCACAGGCAATGCACCACTTACTGGCGGCCCCCCGCGTTCAACTCTGCAAAGCTCGAGATTCGAGCTACGGCCTGAGGGAAGTGAAGAGCCATGGGAAAACCACAGACTTTTCTGCAGGGGAAGAGCTGTTTAGTTTAAGTAAAAACTTCGAAGAAAACATGACAATCCTCAACCAAAACAAAAGTCTGAAAAAAAATGAAATGTACTTGGGGAAACATGGGGTACATCACCATCCCAGCACCATTCATATAATTGTGTGTATATGTATATAATATATATATATATCCTTTTGAGATTTTCAGCAGGGTTGACAGGTTTAGTTAGCCCATCCTGGCCATTTCATAATCCAGTGTCTTGCGTGAACTAGAAAATCCATGGTTTATCATGACTTTTCAGAAACAAATGGCATCCCAAACTGAAATGGGGTTCAATTCATCATGAGGGAAATCGCAAAATCCTCATATCCATTGCCAGTGAAATCAGTAAAATCAAGAAAAAGGTATCTCTGATATCAATATGGCTATTGGTCAAAACCTTGTACCCCTGTAGTTCACATCAAAATAGCTGGGATTTAGGGATGTTCATCCCACCATAAAAATGGTATTAATAGGTATTGATCCATAGCCATATGAATCCTGGGTACTATCAATGTGGCTATCTCTTAGTATCAATGATCGAAAAAAAACGCGGGCCGCCTCGTAAGACTCCGCCACGCGCTGCAGCATCAAGTCCTGATGGATATCGCGGCATCATCAAGGGCCAAGTCTATGACTTGCTCCCAATACATATATTATCATATATATATATGTCATATGTAATTATGTGTGCACATGAGTACCATTTCTTGAAGTAGTATTAAATGCAGTACAACGG